ATAATGCTGCTATGAACATTCCTATACAAGCTTTTACATGAACATATGTTTTCAGTTCTCTTGAGTATATAACCAGGAGTGGAATTACCAGGCCATAGAGTAACTCTACGTTTAATTTTTCGAGGCACTGTCAAACTGTTTTCCAAAGCAGCTGCACTATTTTACATTCCCACCAGCAATGGCTGAGGGTTCCAGTTTCTCCACATGCTCTGCAAAGTTTCCTTTTCCTTATAGCTTATCACTGCCTGACACACACTCTGTTCGTGTATTACTGTCTAGGTCTCCCACTAGCCATCAGACTCCGAGAAGTGGGGCTTCTGGCTTGTTTGCTGCTGTAGCCCCAGCGCCACACACTGCTTGGCACAGAGTAAAGCACTCAATAAATATTGGTTGAATTCGTGAATATAGTTCAGTAACCGTTTTTCACTTAACCACGTCCCTTGAGTTCTTGGTTAACCTTTAGTTACCCAAGTAATAAATGGACACATTTTTCCTGTAACAATTTTAAAACATTATGACAGCTAAATCCCCTTTGAACAGTACCCCAGTTCTAGTCCTATTGCCCCTTCTTCACTGTGAATCCTTTGCAGTATGTCCTTCCAGACCTTTGTCTATGCATGTATGTGTTGGAAATGAGGAAAATCAGTGTGTGCTTTTTTTTTTAACGCAAATAATATGCTGTAGGGATCGTTTTACAACTTAATTATTTACTCAACAATGGATCCTTGGAGATCCTTCCATGCCAGTATATGTACCTCTACCTTTTTTAAACTGCTACATAGTGTTTTGTGTAATGTATATACCACTGTGTGTTTAGCCATTGCTCTATTTTTTTATGGCTTTTTTTTTTTTTTTGTGAGGAAGATCAGCCCTGAGCTAACATCCGTGCTAATCCTCCTCTTTTTGCTGAGGAAGACTGACTCTGAGCTAACGTCTATTGCCAATCCTCCTCCTTTTTTTTTTCCCCCCAAAGCCCCAGTAGATAGTTGTATGTCATAGTTGCACATTCTTCTAGTTGCTGTATGTGGGACGCGGCCTCAGCATGGCTGGAGAAGCGGCGCGTTGGTGCGCGCCCGGATCCGAACCCGGGCCGCCAGTAGCGGAGCATGCGCACTTAACCACTAAGCCACGGGGCCGGCCCCATTGCTCTATTTTTAAAAACACAAATGCTTGTGGAATAACTAATTTTTGCAAAGCAGCATTTTTAAAGGTTTTTAAAACTTAATATCATGATGCTGGATATCATGATATTGGAGTGTCCAAAGTAGCCACAAAGAAGGGATTGATATTGTTGAAGCAGAAAATTCCAGTCCTGATTTTTACACTTCTAAGAACAAAATCAATTTCTCAAAAACTTATAAAACAAAATTCATATTAATGTCATAATGGTTAACTATGTCAAACTCATAGTGTCAAACTTGGTTATAAATAGAGTGTTTTAATTCCACACTTTGGGAACTTTTTAGTCATTTAAGGATTATACTGCAACAGTTGTCTTCCCTGCCACTGACGTACTCACTGAAGAGGCATCTCTCTGTCAGAACTCCCATAGCATTTAATAAACCTGCCGCTCAGCATTGCCATTTACATACAATCCTGTGCCCACCTGAAGTAGAAGCTCCTCAAAGGAAGGAGACTGGGGCTTTCTAAAATACGCAGTAAAAATTGTCTAAGTATAATGTTTTATGTCTTTGTGCTTCTCTATTTTCAACATTTTCTTTTTACTTCCAAGTTCAATTAGTTTATCTTGATCCCTCCTCGAAGACAGAAAATATTGTCAGCCCATGTTTATGTTATTACACATAGCTTTTTGTGTGTGTGACGAAGATCAGCCCTGAGCTAACATCCATGCTAATCCTCCTCTTTTTGCTGAGGAAGATCAGCTCTGAGCTAACGTCTATTGCCAATCCTCCTCCTTTTTTTTTTTTTCCTCCCAAAGCCCCAGTAGATAGTTGTATGTCATAGTTGCACATCCTTCTAGTTGCTGTATGTGGGACGCGGCCTCAGTATGGCCGGAGAAGCGGTGTGTCGGTGCGCGCCCGGGATCCAAACCCGGGCCGCCAGTAATGGAGCTCGCACACTTAACTGCTAAGCCATGGGGCCGGCCCTACACATAGCTTTTTATTTAAAATTCTGGTCATAAAATTCAGGTTCAGACATTCCGAAATTCCCAAATTTTATTTTTGGGGTTTGTCCTTATCAATCAGTCAGTGCTTATGTAATGGCTTTGAGGTGCTAGGTGCTGGGGGTCACCACTTCTACTTTGTTTTAGGATTTTCAGTTCTTTCTTCAAAACGTGCACTTTCAGATTATCTTATTTAACTGGTCATTGTATACATTTGTGTAAAATAATTTCTAGAAAAACAAAACCAAACCTTTGTTTTATACTTACTGGTTGATTTCCAGTAGGTGGCACCAAATACCCTTTGAAGTTCTTCATGATATTAATTTCTAGTTGGTGTTGCTGGCTCATTGATCATTTCTTCCACTACCACCAGGGAACAGAGAGGATCCATTCTTTAGTCTAATTCTCTGATTGTTATATAACGTAGTATTTTTGGTTGGAGTTTAAGATAGACCTGTTGGTGTTTAAATGATTAATTTACTATGTCTCACTCAGATTTCAACCTTTTTTCCTTTTTGTAAGTGTGATTTTCAATCAGGGTGTTTCTAGGGGAAGGATCATAATATTGAAATAAAACTGGGTTAAAAAAAAGAGTTGAGGGTAGAAGAGAAAGAATAGGGAGATATGCTGAATGTTGATAATCAAACTGAAGAGAAAATATAAAAGTATACAAAATCTAAAATTTAAGATAATGAAATCAAAGTGTTTGTTTTACAAATAACTTGCAATTAACAAATACTCTTTAAAAATGTTATATCCCCATTCTCATTTCCAGCTTTTTTGTACTTCATCTTCAGTATGTGTATTTATTAGTTTTTGTAAAGAATCAGCTTTTAGATCCAATTAACCATTAAAACCAGAAAATATGTTTCCTGTATGTCAGGCATGATTTACTACATTTATTCTACTTATTAATTCTATTGAGTTGTTTACTTAATTTTAATGATTTGTCAACCATTAAAAAGAACACGTTTAGGGGCCAGCCCCGTGGCATAGCAGTTAAGTTCACACGCTCCGGAGGCCCGGGGTTTGCCAGTTCAAATCCTGGGCACGGACGTACGCACGGCTCATCAAGCCATGCCGAGGTCATGTCCCACATAGAGCAACTAGAAGGATGTACAGCTGTGACATAGAACTATCTACTGGGGGGAGGAAAAAAAAGGAAGATTGGCAACAGATGTTAGCTCAGGGCCACAATCGTCCCCCCCCCCCCCCCCAAAATTTTCCCATTATGTACGTGTTTTTCTTTCTTTTTCCTCTGTTTGAGGGTCAGTGTTTTGTGACTCAATCTGGAAATCCATTTCTTAACTCTTGTTTTTAGAACCACCACCAATGGGAGCATTGGTAGCATGGGCTCTGAGTGAAACAGATCTGGTTTCAGTTTCCATTCCTGGGCGAATGGATGACTAGTTAAGTCATTTAACTTCTCTAGGCCTCAGTTTCCTCATGTGCAAAATGTAATTAACCTACCTAAGGGGGTTATATTGAGTATTAGCGATATTATAAGTAAATTACCAGATTAAGCTTTATTTTCATATATTGGCAACAATAAACTTATTTTTAAAAGCTATGTGAAATATGTTCAAGCTTTATTCATTTCTATGTTCAGGACTCTCAATTTACCAAGACTTTTATTTCTACTTTTTAAAATAGAGATGTCAACATATTAAAACAATGTAACTTGGGTCTCGAGATACCTTTCATCTCAAAAATCTTGATAGGCTTAGGGAACTAATCCTTAAACTTTTTAGTTCTACATACATTTATATTGGTACCGCCCCCACGCCCCCCCAACACCATTTAAAGCCCTCTTGAAGAGTATTTTTTTTAAGTATTTCATCTAAAATTAAAAAATAGACTCTGAAAGAGCTTTATGTCCAAGAATCTCGGGATTCAACGTCATTCTGTAGGTAGAGGAAGTTTCCAATGTTTTAAAACCCACTCTCGTGAAGAAGTAGTTATGCCAGCACTTGGCGGAGTGGGGCGGGGGGGAGTGCCTTTGGAGAGCTCAGTGCTGTATACAGCCGCTCGATTCTAGCGCTTTCTGAGGAAAGAAAAAACGCTGGGCGGCGAGCATTTAACACGAGCTAGGCTTTTTCCTTCAAGCCCCACAGCCACATGGCGCCCGGCTGCCGGCGCCGCTCTCCCTTCAGGGGGATTCGCGGCGGGGCCCTCGGCCACCCTGGTCCCGGGAAGCCTGGAACCTGTGGAGCCCCGGCCGCCAGACCTAACTCTCCGGCTGCGAACCCGAGCGGGGCAGAGCGCCCAGGCGACGCGCAGTGCCAGCCTTCCACTGGAGGGACTCCCGCGGGTCCCCAGAACTTGTCCCCGGAGACAGGTCCGGGCAACAGGTCCGCGCTGGGTGCAGCCCAGCTCCGCGCTGGCCGGTGAATCAGCGCCGCCCGGCACCCGGGTCTGCCCTTCCAGCCAATGCCACGTCGGGGGAGGTGTAGTGACCACGAGCCACTCTGGGCTCGCCGGCCTGGAGAAAAGTGACGTCATCGTACTGGGAGGTTTCAGAAGGCCCCACCAATGGGAGACAGGCGAAGTGGCTTGCTTTCTGTAGCTCTCGGCCAATACTCACAAAGCAAAAGGGGGCCTGGTTTTTGGCTTAGAACCAATGGTAAACAGGGCACAAGGCGGAGTTGCGAATCCCGTCACCAATTGGAGAGAGGGGGCGGAGCCCGGGCCTTGTCAAGCATGACCTACCAGCGAGAGGAGCGGACTCTGAGGGGCGGGGCTGTGATTCCCTCCCCCAATCGGACAAGGCCAGGGGCGGGGCATTCTTTAAGGTGCCCAATGAGGAACGCAACCGAAGCGGGTCTGTCAAGCGAAGGGGCTGGGGGCGGGGGGATGGTGAATCGGAGATAAACACTCCGCGGCGGTGGCGGCGGCAGCTCTTCTCCGGATCTGTCACGGTGTCGGCAGTGCCCAGCTCACCAGCCCCCCTTCCCTTTCCGGCGAGCGTGGTCACCAGAGAGGCTCTCTCAAGCCTGCTCTGCGGGGTCCACAGCGGGGCGCGGGTGTCCGGCGGCGGCGAGCCTGTGGGCAGTGGGGGTTGGTCCCGTGGCTCCGGCCCCCGGTGCAGAATGGCGACGGCGGTTCGGATGAACATCCAGATGCTGCTGGAGGCGGCCGACTACCTGGAGCGGCGGGAAAGAGGTGCACGGGAACGGGAGAGGTCCGGCCCGAGTCGGGGCCGGGGGCTCTGAGGGGCCCGGCCGCTCCGGGGGTAGTTGGAGGCGCGGAGAGCGCGACCGCGAGGCTCCCAACCCCTCCAGCTCTCCCCACGCGCGGTCCGAAGGGAGGCCGCCGCTGCCCCGAAGGCAATGAATGGGAGTGGAGAAGGGGCCGCTGCCCCCCCGGATCCCAAGAGCCGCCCCCTCCCCACCCCGTCGCGAGTGGGATGCCCGGGGCCCCCTCAGGCAGGCCCTTGGTTTACCTCACCGGGGCTCGTCCCGGCGGCCCCCAAGTTGGCCTGACGCCCCGTCTCCCAGCCGGAGGAGCAGCGCCTTCCCTGCCCACCCCCCCCCCCCAGCCCCCGATGTTTGCCCCGCACCTTCGCCTGAGGCTGGTCCCACTTACCACACACCAACCTGCTGGACGTTGCTAATGGGAAACCCAGGCTCCGCGAGCTTAGCGATTTGCTGTGTCTTTCTCAACAATGAGCAGCTGGAGTGCTCCTTACACCTGCTCCGAACTGAGGGTATTCACACAATTAAAAAAGCAATCATTGTTCTAAGAATCCCACCTTGCTCTGTTTAATTATTTCCACAGTATTCTTTTAACGAAAAATAAATTTTAAAAAGGAAATACTGTGGAGGGGAGAGAGTATTGAATGCTCTGGGCTCATTCATTAACTGGATCCTCCGGTTTTCTAGAAGCTGAACATGGTTATGCCTCCATGTTACCATACAACAACAAGGACAGAGATGCCTTAAAACGGAGGAACAAATCCAAGAAGAATAACAGCAGTAGCAGGTAATTTGGTAAATATTTCGCTTTCGCTTTTAGATTATACTGCAGATGACACAAACTGCAGATTGGAAGTTGCCTGTTGTGATTATAACCCTGTAATTAAGTGGCGATCAGGATTCAGTAATGCACACATGGTCTTAAGCCATTGGAGGAAGCAGCCCTTCTGTTTGGGTTGAAGGGACTGAAAAGAAAAGAGAAATGGAAATGTTTTACATTTCTTTGTGAACTTTTTTTTTCAATTTAATTTTGCTTTTCTTCCCTTTCGGAACAAAAATCTGGAAACTTTAAGTGAGATTAGCAACAGTGACAATATTTTGCCTCCAGAAATTGCAGATTCAGGGCAAGTTTTCTATAATTGCAAACGCTGGACATTATTTCTTTTACTTTTCATAGTGAAGATTTTATAAACATGTTAAAGTATCTGACTTGGCATAGGTGGTAGGATTTCATATTTGACATGTAAATTAAATACAGTGGTTTGTCTGATAATCTAATTTGTCACATCTATTTACAATGGCAAAAAGGAATGATTGAGGTTAAAACTTGCCTTTTTGGTGATGGAGGAACATATAATATTAAAATATTAGTATGCCACAACCCTTTTATGTTAGCCTTTTAGTTCTTAAAATCTGTGAATCTCACTGGGAAGTATTTGGTTAATGGTCAGGGAAATCACATATCAAGGCCCTGAACATAGTTCCTGGTACATATGAGTACTCCATTAATGCTATTGCCCCTTTTTTCCCTCTTTGCTGTTAAAATATGTTAGCTAGGAGATCTGTTTTATTAGATCCATCAATGATACCTTTCATTCCAGTAAATTAAAAGCATTGACATTTTCATCACTGATTTAGAATCCTTACCCTTTCCCATCCTCATGAATAACTCTCTGCAAATAACTGTATTTGGTTAGCCTCTGTGGCATAATACAGACCACTAAAAGCCAGAAGGTTCCCATTTAAACCTAAAACTCACATGTTCTTGCTGCCTCGTCTGTCCTTGATTCACCCTATTGTCCTTAGTGCTGGTAGAACCACAGGATGTGAGCAGCACACATATGCTGAGCTCTTGAATGGGAAAGCACGTGAAGGATGAACCTGGTTATTAATTACCTGGTGGTTTTTCCTTTCCTGCCCATGTTTAGCATTACCTGAAAGTGGAAGCCAATAGATCTGTGCATGGGTACTAGGGGGCTTTAGGAGGGATGTTAATACTAACTTATATTATGCAAGAGTTTAAAACAATTTAGCTGTGTTACGTTTTGTTACAGTATTAATTTTTAAAGTGTTGTTTGGAAGAACTTTGAAGTCTTTTGGTTTATTTTTGTGGAAAAATATAGTCCATTTGTTGCTTTTATTCATGTCCACTCATGATTTGAGAGGAATTGTCCACATTAACAGTCAAGGCTTAATCCTTAGCACTCGATATTTTCCTGAGTTTCACAGGAAAGTTGTAGTGTGGATGTTCAGTAGTAGGAAGAGGAAAAGACGGGGATATTGTTGAAGAGAAGTGGCTTGGTCCCAAAAGGTGATTAGGAAAGAAAAATAATGATAGTTGAGAATTTCAAACCAAGAAACTCATTCTTTCTCCTCTCTTTAGTATCCAGCATTATAACTGAAAAATGGCTGCAACTCCTAATGTTTGGAAAAGGTCTATTACTTCTGTTAGTGGGTTTGATTTGCTTTTCATAGTTAGAGACAGGAGGCTATCACAGTTATCCATATTCTTGACTAATAATGAGTTAGTGTAATATCTTCAGTGGTGCAAGGATCTCTGAGAGACGGTGATTAAACCTGGAGATGGCACCAAGCAAACATGTGAAGCAAGAGCAGGCTGTTTTGTTTAAATGTGATCACTTCCTTCTTGACATGTTTGGAATGACCCTTACCTGAGCAATGAGACATCTCCCCAGAGAATGCAGTTGGACACCTAGATTTGAATTAGACTTATATCCAAGGCCATGTATGGTCAGGCTTTTGAACTGAGGTAAGGGCTATGAAGACGTTACTGCTGGTTTACATAACCATTGGAGAACAATTTATTCTTGTTAATTCAGGTTTAAATGCTCTTTGCTTGTACAGTCTGGGGGTTACTTTTCCCTGGACAGTAAAAAATAAGATTTAGCCATATGTCAAACTTCTTGGGAACTAAAAATACAAATCTTAAGTTTCTTTAGTTGCTTGTTTAAAAAAACAAAAACAAAAGCAAATGAAGTTGTGAATATTGATTGTTTGGGAATCATCCAGAGAACTACTGGAATAGAAGGAGGTGAAATCTTTTTTTTCTTTCCTACTAATTTTTGAAATCAGTTACTAATTATTTCCAATTGAAATCCAGAGTTCTTAAAAGTATGTTTTGTTAAATAGGTAAAGCAGACTTGGGCACTCATGTGAAAGAGGAAGTTCAGGACTTGCCACCCAGTTCTTTTATGAGACAGTGGCTGTATAGCTGACCTGACACGGGGAGTCTTTTTGAACCCAAGGACTTTTCCTATTCTCAGATACTCTGTATTTTGTCTTAGTTATCTTTTTCTTAGAATATATTTTTAAATGGTGACATTTGACCTTTATCAGCAATTCCAGAGTTATCAAATCTTTTCAGTAATCACATGGAAAGTAATTTTGACACAAGGTTTCTGTGTATTCTTATAATGCTTAATTAAAAATAAAAGTATTTACCCATCAACAGAGTTGGCAGGCAATCTCTGAACTGATCATTTTTTGAAAGGCCTGCTTTTGATTCAAGACAAACTCAGTTTCAGTAAACCAAATGCACTTCAAATGCCCTAGCCATTAGATACAAGTCGCCTTGTAAAAATCACCATGTGTTCAACACTCTTAAGTAATCAAATAAGATCTGTAGTTTCCAAAACTCTGTTCAAAGTTTGGAAGGAGTTGTGCCTCTTATGGAATTTGTTAAAAAGTTTATGTTGGGAATTCAGAATTTTTTTATATGTATCTTCAAAGAATCAAGTCATTTTTGGTAAGGGTGTCCTGTGTGCCATTATTTTCTATAATCAGAGACCATTTTCTTTTCAAATATCCGTCCTCTTCTCCGCCACCTTCCAAGGATGGTCCCTGTCTAAAGTTAAATGGGGAAATCTTGACCAGCTGTTGTCATATACTTTCATCCATTTAAAAAATCTGTCAGACTTTGAACTTGTTATTCCCTGTTAAAACTAAAATGCCACGTGCTTTAAAGCCAAAGGTTTGCAGTTGCAGGCCAGATTATTGTGAACCACGATATCCTGCTGGCCATTGCAGGAAGTAAACCTTCAGAAAAATGCAACTGAAGAATGCTGAGGGATAACTGAGTAAATCAATTTAAAGCTTTTAAATTAACTAGTTTTAAGGTTCACATATCCTTTATCTAGAGAACAAATATTCTAAAACTTAAAATAGTGTCATTATTGTTTCTCCTCATGAATAAAAATTGCTATCTCAAGAGCCCTGTAGAAGAGAAGTTTTAGTGCCATATTGGAAATTTTTTAAGACTATCCCCCCCCCACACACACACACAACACTCTCACCCCACCCCCAGTCTCTGGTGTGAATGAACTTGGTGGTGGTACCACTGTGATGTAAATGAGTAGATGAGCAATCATGGAGGTAGTATTCCTCCAAGATTACTGTGAGTATTTATCTCCTAGGTCCAGTAAGGTTTCCATTATGGCCCCACAGAATTCATGACCTAGGCCAGGGCGTAGTCTCCTGTACTGGTTAGATTCCAGCGAGTTTCCATAAGAAAGGTCAAGATTCAGCTCCTTTATAATGCTGGGAGGTTCCTCAAGTTTATTTATAACTAGTTAGGGAGGAGTTGTGTGAGGAAGACACTGAAATGGCCACATTGACTGACTTCTTGTGACTTCTGTGGAAACCTGTCCATAAATTCTTAGACCAGACCTTATGTTCAAGGTCAGCCATAAACACTAATAATATGATTTCACATCCACCACAGCTTTCATCCAAGGCTCTCTAATCACTTTTACAGTTACTACCTCTTGTAGTAGATCCACTCTTGTTCAGTAGATAATTGGCAATAATTTTTATTCGCATTTCATAGAGGGGTTAACCAAGGACGGAATGGTAAAGAATTTTATTTCTTCCACAGTACCAGTCAGTAGCAAAGCTGGACTTCAAATTTCACCCTAACTGTTGCTTTAACCAGTCTATCGCCTTTATGTTGGGCTGAGTTTTAGAAGCCCTTTCTTAAAATCACTTGGTAGCTATTCAGCAGTTACTTCAGGGAGTAGAAAGAGTGAGGGAAGAAGGGTTATTTTTATTCACTTAAAACTATCCTATAGTCTAACAACTTCGCATAAAATTTTGGTGTATACGACGCATAGGGCTGGGGTGGGGGTGCCACCTGCACTGTTCTACCCTCAGCCTGAAGGAAGCTGGTGGGATTATATAACCCAAATCCACATTGCATTGTGCAGCTGTTTTTCTCTTTGTATAAATAGACCCTTTTATTTCCTTTCTTAAAATGGATTACTTTTCCATGAGGGAATGCGTGCCTCTTAGTTTGTCACTTCTCCTTGAACTCTGTTTTAGATGTTTACATTTATCTAACTCCCCAAACGGACTAATTTCTTAGTAGAGCCCAATGAGTTTTTCTCCCTTTCTTTGTCTCCTCTCCTAACAACTTCGCAGAGAAAGAAGTTAAAATAATTGTGTAGGTGTTGAAGTGGTCCTTTAAGACAAGAATAATCTTACTCTTTTCTTATTGTTTCCTCTTTCAGATCAACTCACAATGAAATGGAGAAGAATAGGTGAGTTGGGGATTTTGGGGATGGGGGAGTTTTGATGTATTCTCTATTCATTAATTTGAGACCTGGTTGCTCTTCTTGATTCTTCCCACAAGTAGCACCTGACTTAAGGGTTCACCCAGGGCCCTCGAAGCAGCACTGCCCATAAATCACTTAGGTAGATGAAGGGCTCACCAGTTCCAAACACCCCAACCCTCACCCCTGCAGCCTGCTCCTTCTGGGGAATGCCTTTCTGTGTGACTATTCCACAGGCCAAAGCATTTTAGGTCATGGGCATTGTTTCCACAAATAGTGTTTTTAAAAAATTACATGCTACTGAATATAATTGGCAGTGCTGTCTTAAATCATGTACACACACAGGTATGTATACATACATATACATACCTGTATGTTTACAGTTTACTTTTGAATGAAGATGCTCAAAATTCAGGTAAATATGTGCATAGGAGATGGTGACCCACGAGAGGAGGCCTGCCACCCTTGCTGGGCTCCATCTTGCCGTCAGCCTGAGTTGATCTCTCTTACCTGGATTACTTCTTGCTGCTTATTTGAACCTTTATTTTCCAAATCAAGTTTGCCCATCCTTCAGTGGTGTAGCCTAATGGTTCTCAACTCTGGTTGGACATTAGAAATGCTGGCAAAGCTTTTATTTTAATGTTTTTAAAGATATTCTTTATATTAAATACCTGATACACATATATTTGGGGGAAGAGAATTTTTTTTTTTTTTTTTGTGAGAAAGATCAGTCCTGAGCTAACATCTGCCAATCCTCCTCTTTTTTCTGAGGAAGACTGGTCCTGGGCTAACATCCGTGCCCATCTTCCTCCACTTTATGTGGGATGCCGCCACCGCATGGCTTGACAAGCGGTGTGTTGGTGCGCGCCCGGGATCCGAACCCTGGGCTGCTACAGTGGAGCACGCGCACTTAACTGCTACGCCACCGGGCCGGCCCCAAAATTTTTATTTCTGCTGATTTTATAAAATAATTTTTTATCATAGAATTTTTCAAATATACAAAAGTAGAGTGAATAATATAATCAACTCCAAGTATCCACCCAGCATCAACAATTATCAGCATCTTGCCAATCTTGTATAATGAAAACCACCCCTCTCCACAGAGTATTTTAAAGCAAATCTTCTATCTCTTGTAAAGATTTTTTTAAGAAAACATAACCACTTGCTTTTACCATACTGGAAAAAAAATTAATGATAATTCTTTGTGGAGCTTTAAAAAAAAAAACAAAAAAACCGATGGCCAGACCTCACCCCTAGCAATTCTGATTTAATTGGTTTGGGCTGAGACTCTGCACTAGTATTATTTTAAAAGCTCCCCAGGTGATTCTTACGTGCAGCCAGGGCTAAGAACCATTGAACAAGCCTGATTCTGGTCTCGGAGCTCCCATCAGTTTGAAATACAGGCTAACCATCCAGATTGAGTGGCTTTCTCGGTGCTCTGCGTGAACAAGATGATGATGTGTAATGATGGCTCTGTAAATACATGTGGTTATTTCAAGCAAACCCTCCTTGAAGAGGCAGCCCGACAGTGAAAGGACAGACCAGACCCTTACTAGGAAAGAGAATTTTGGAACAGGCAAACATTTAGCATCACTCCACTGTGGATATCGTGTGGGGGTGAGGGGAGTGGGTTGAGTGTACCTCCCTGCACACGTGCTTCTCCCCACCCTTCCTCCCTGTTCCTTTCTCTGTGACCGGGACTGACCATGTTCTACGTCAGAGCTTGCTTTACGCTTTAGGGATTTACATCTCATGAACTGGAAACTCAAAAGTATCTCTTCTTAAGGTGGAAAGGTAGTCAGAGGTGGTTTCTCTTTCTCATGTTTAGATTCTCTCCCATTTCCCTGCCTTTGGGGTAGACTGGGACTATTTCTGCTGAAAAGTCTTCTGATCCTCCTTCTCCCTTCTAACATTTTACTTAGGCATTTCTTATTATTATTAAAATTGCATCTCTTTAAGTAAGGGCTCGTAGGCTTACTGCAGTTTTATGCCTTTCACGTCTACAAGAATGCCACAGAACGTCTGTTTTATCATTGATTTTAGCAGTTCAGGGATGTTTTCGGCCTACAGTGTCCCAAGAACTTGTGCTCAGTACTCGGTATTAATGAGTTCATACTAGGGTATTAAATAAGACGGCCCCCATTCTAGAGAAAGGTAGTTTGTCTAATAAGAAAGACACAGAGACAGTTTGAGTTAATACACTAAGCGCTAAGATTGAGGTATGCACAGGAGGCTATGGAGGCAAAGATTCTAGAAAACTGGATTGGAAGTTACCACTGGGCAAGCTGCTTATCATTCAGGCTGCCTCTGTATGACCAGTCAACTTCTCGTTGAAGGATTAGTTATCTAGTTTCCTTATTGCCCTTTCTTTTTTGGAATTTGGTCTTTTAAGGTCTTGATAATTCTTTCTTCCCTTCTAGAGCATGTGAACAGAAGAGAAGGAAGTAAGGAGTCAAATTTACTTAATTTAACCAAGCATTGGTTGCTGTAGGCCAGGAGGAGAGGTTCAAGTTGTCGGGCTCTGCTCCCTTATTAGTGTGGATGCTTGAGATTTTAGGGTTTTGAGGTCAGTTGAACAGCTGCTCTCGTACTCCCCTGGTTTCAGGAGCTGAATGCTAAAAACGAATATCACTTTGCTAAATGCTAATACACGTTAGCCATTTTTTACCTTAAAACATCACATAAAAAGATTGGCATGGCTCTCAAGAAAAAAAAAAAAGCGACTTAGGAAAAGAACTTCTAATGATGAGAATTTTTTTTCTCTTTGATATTGCAGAGTTGATTATACTTGGGTTAGCTCTTTTACACAGAAAGCTTTTCTCTGGCACTTTAGAGATTCTGAATAATTGGTGTTCATCAGGACTCCACTGTGAGGATTTTATACTCAACACTACCATTTTAATAATCTTGGCATTAGTGGGAAGATAAAAGGAGAGACTTCTAGAATGGAGGAGATGGGAGTTGGTGGTGGTGGCGGTATTTTCCATTCAATAGATGAGGCATTTGTGGGGCACCATCGATGCCATGTACTAGGTGATGGGAATAGGGAACCCGATAGAGACCAAGCCCCCAGGGTGGAGGGCTCAGTTTAATATCACTCTAGGTATTAGAGTCTGTTACTTGGCCTGTACTTCTCTGCATTTTAACTAATTTTTTGGGTCTAGCCATACTCATTCTTGATGAGTATGTGGTGTTTCTTTCTTTTTTTAAAACTAATCTCATAGAAAATTTTAAGAAATATAGAAAGTCATACTAAAAATTAAATCATCCATAATTCTAGCAGCCAGAGGAAACCAGTGGAACTTTGAAATGTATCTTTCCAATTATTTTTGGAAATAACTTTTAAAAATATAGTTTAGTGTAGAAAATTGGAAAGTTCAGAAAAATACAAAGAATATAAAAATCACCTGTAATAGACCTTGCGGTGATAACAACAGCTAACACTCCTGCTAAGTTCTATATCCATCTAGACTTTTGTGCATACTTTTTTAATCAACATGGGATCATCTAGTAAATAATCTGAATCTTGCTTCTTTTCAAGCTACATTATGAACATTTCCCAGTGTCGTTAAATCTCCTTTTCTAGCATTACTTTTGGTGAACGCCCAGTATTACATCATATGGATGTGCCATAACTCATCTAACCAGTCCTCCATTTTAGGTTCTTTCCAGTATTTTGCTAATATAAACAAGGCTTCCTTAAACTACTTTGTAGATAAGTCTCTGTCCAACATCATAATTATTTCCTTAGGGTAAATTTATAGTGTGGAATTAATGGTATACTTGTTATTAGGGTTTTTGATGTTGACTGCTGGATTGCCCACCAGGCAGGTTAGAGGCCATACTTTCCTTATACCTTCACAAGCTGATATTATAATTTAAGACCTTTATCAATTTGATAAGTAAAAAACACAACTTTTTTAAAATTTGCATTTCTTATATTACTAGCACAGTTGAACAATTTTCATATCTTTGACATGTGTGTGTGAGAATTGCCCATTATAAAATCTTGGCCCAATTTTCTGAGTTTTTTTTCTTTATTTTGAAAAGATTCTATAATATAGAGGATATATATGAAAGAGATTGCCCCTTTGTGTATCACATAATTGTCCAGTTTATCATTTACCTTGACAGAATCAGTCTTCTCTCACTGTTTGGAGTTGCTGCCTCTATGGTATACTAAATTCTTGTTTAAGTCTGTTTCTAGACTTGTTCTTCTACTCCCCAGATCCATAGGCCCTCCTGTGCCTGTATACATTGTTTTCATCGAGGTTTTATCATACATTTCAGGATCTGGTACAGCAAATCTCTACTCTTCCCTCCTCTTCCTTTTTTTATTTTACTATGTTCTTAGCTATTTTCAACAGTTTACTTTTTCCTGACGAATTTTATAATCAATCCATCAATTCCCCATACCCCAAATTCTTTTGGGATTTTCAAAATCGAAATTAAATAATTCCAATATAAATTAACCTAAAAAAGTTTATCTTTAAGTATTAGATCTTTTCATCCAGGATTTGGTGTGTGTCTTCATTTATTCAGATCTCTTTTCTGTCTCTAAGTAAAGTTTTGTAGTGTTTCTGTGTAGGTTTTGCACATTTCTTGTAAACAGTATTTCTGGGTTTATATACTTTTTAATTGCTATTGGTTTCCCAATTAATTACTAATTAATTACTTTTGGAATACAGGAAATCTTTTCATCTTTTGTTGTTGTTATTTGCCCTTTATTGATAATTATGCTGTTTCCTTCTCTTAGCTGGGAATTCCTCTGGTTTGAATGCCTTTCAGTAAGCCCTTCAGCAAATAGAGATTGAGTGTGCATATAAGCTGCTGCCCGTGGGTCAGGAGTCAGGTGCTAGAATGGACTCTTTTTCAAAAGAAGGCTCTGGCATCTCCTTTGATAGTAGACACTCGTTTTTCTGGAATGGTACATATGCAGGCCTTGCTGGAATTAGGCAGCTGGTCTAGAGAGATTACCTCTGCCAGAG